TCTAAGTGATTATGTATGAAAGTTTACATGAACTATGTGATTAAAACTATGAACTTATGTTTATGAGATATATATAACATGTGAATTATGAAAAGCCCATGTTATATAAATGAGAGCTATATGTATAATTGGCATGCCAATAATCTAGGGTTCTACGTGGTCCTTCAGGATATATATATAATCCTTTGGAACATATATGCGAGTCTTTGAGACACATATTTGGTCATTTGGAGTATATATATGATTCTTAAGGAGATTTCTATGTGGTCATTCGGGACATTTTATATGGCACTTTGGTGCATTCCTACGAGGCACTTCAGTGCATTTCTACGTGGCACTTCGATGCATTTTATACGAGCTGTGGTGACAGCATTTATACACAACCTTAATGCACTCATATACCTTAAGTTCTTGATATTGTATCATGGGCTAATAAAAGATATAATATGAAATAACATTAAATATTGTGATAAGTTACTATGCGTAAAATGCATGATTAAGTAGTTTGCATTGAATAAATACATGATTTCATGTTATTACATTTCATTATAGTATCATTGTATATATTGTGCCTCACTAAGTCGATGAATGAGTGTTTCACACGTAGGATCCAAGAAGTTAGATGAGTAAGGATAAGCAACTGGGATAGCATTACTCCTTTAGATATCAGATCAGAAGCAACTTAAACAATAGGTTATTTTGTTATGGAAATCAATGTTGGCATGTAATCAAAAGTTTAAGTTGTATATGTTCTGATTATTTTGTGAACTTTTGTACCAAACTTATGTAAATTATTTGATTTATTAATATAAGTTTAATTTTATACCCTTTTGTACAAGTATATTGCTTTGAAAAGGTCAATGTAACATCTCAGACTCGTATTTGGGTCGGGTATGGGTTGGGGGTGTTACAAGTAGAGTATCAATACTTCCCAGCTTGGATGATTAGATTCGACCCGATTAAGGCCCATAAGAGCTAAATATAATCTATAATGGTAGAACGTAGTTCGTGAGGGATGTAAATGGCCAAAGGGGCCCAAGAACACTCGTATGAGGGGCTATAACCAAAGTAACCATAGCATGCGTAATACACCCAAATACTTTCAGCCGAGCACGTAGCGAGTATCTAAGGATGAATGATCATTACAGAGGGTGTACCGACAAGCAGTATGATGTGATGATCAAATTATGAAATTGAGAGGTTGCATATAGAAAGAATGTCAGTGAATGGTGAATGTACAGTTGTCCCTCCAATTCTAGGGAGAATTGAGGGAAAATGTAGTAGGAGTGAATAGGGAGTCACTACCTAATCTTGAATTTGGAGTCAATTATCAGGCCAGTTAGATACAGACAGCGAGCAATCATCATAGAAATCATCGTGAACTCATGAAATACGCAGAGACTTCTCTAGGGAAAAAAACTAAAATACATTTAAGCAACGAACGACCAGAATATAAAAATTTAATAATTAACAGTAATAACATATTAATAAACCTTCGTATAACGTTCTAGATGATAGAACGAGCGAAGTAGCAGCTAGTGAGGGGTTGACCTCACTTTAGTGTGTTGGGCTATACTATGGTATAGACAGACTACCTTAGTTCCCTAGTAGGGCATTGTCGGTGCGCGAGGCACTTCAGGAGTTAACTAGGACGCGAGGCCCAAACACTTGCGATGAGTGGGTTAGCGATGTCAGTGTTGCGTCGCCTTTGGGCCTTAGGTGTGCATGTATAGTTGCATCAGTCAAGTACAATAGAATCCTTAAAGCTTGGTTGAAGGCTTTGTGAGACCAAGCTAACGCTTCAGTAGAGAAGGAATTACGATTTCTATGTGACACCGGATTCCCCTCAATGATCTACCTGATGGCTATGTGAAGACCAGGAGACCATTCAACAGCTAGTGGGAATTGTACTGATGCTATGTGACATCGGGTTCCCTCTGTTAACTAGTATCTGATGCCTATGTGGAACCATATATTAGTCTGTATGGCATTCAGATAATGCATAGTAGAGTCAATATTGCATTCAGATAATGCATAGCATAATCAATGTCGTATTTAGATAATGTATATCAATTATAGATATTAGGGTTAGAGACCCTTTAGTGGTATACTCATAGTGAAGCCCTTAACATAGGATTAAGAAAAGTGTGAGACTCCCACCATAGTGATAGAATAGTTAAACTCTAAGTAGGTAGCACCTGATCAAGAACATGTATGTACCTACTTCTTAGTACTATGTCTTTAACATGCTTATATTTATGGAACTCATAATACTACTATAGTTAGCAGCGATTATACTGTTTGGTTTTGTAAGCACAACCATCGCATGTTTTCTGTTAGGAAGTCAGTAGTTGAGTAGTTCGTGGAGCACCGTCGTAGCAAAACTTCTAGCATCTCTGTCAGAGTACTGTACCGTAGCTTAGTGGACGTATATATTTATATGACCTTACTTATGTATTCAGATTTATGAGACAAAATTTGTATTAATTGGATTTAAATTGTATGTCATGGAGCTCCAGTTTATAAAATGTCTTATAACCGTTATTTATGTTTATTATTGATATCATTCAGAATATTTGAAAAGAAAATAAATAGGTTTTAAAAATCAGGGGTTGTCTCGGTGGCCCAATGTAACACTTTAGGTCCAATCGAATTTAGGGTGTTACATCAACTATTGAGGGTCTTCTAAAAGGTTTTCAAACTTAAATATTTTAAAAATTATTCCACACAAGCTCTTAAGAGATTCCGAACAAAGCCTCTTTTTAAGGAGTCTAGTCACCTATTCCTTAGCCAACTAGTCTATCATTTTAGGGTAAATTATACAAGTGTTTCTTTATATTTTTTGTTTGTTCGATTTTGATCACCAGTTCAAAAAAAGATCAATTTTGATTTGTTATGTTATAAGTCATTTTAGTATTGGTCTTTTGGTTGTTAACTCATAATAGAAGTTTGAGTTTACAATTAAAAAATAAAAAATCACCAAAATAGTGATTTTGGCTAGGTGTGTATTCGATAAGACGAATTTAACTCTTCTCAACACCAAGTTCATTAGTAATGTTGATACGCTCCTTCGTACCAAGTTCATTCATAAGGTGAAAAATGTTTGACTCGACCCGACTCGGAAAAAAAATATAATTTTACCTTATATATTTAGGGATATTACAATAATACCCCTATATATTAGTTTTCAATAAAATTCTTATTTTTATTGAAAATAATATTTTGTATTATTTTGGGTCGAGTCGAGTTTAGTTTTTATCTCAAAAAGTCGAGTCATGTTTGAATCAGGTGGAGGGTGTATATTTTTCAGGTCTGGTCGGATCGGGTGAAGTATGTATAACTTTTGAGTCTGGTCGGGTTGGCCCAAACCCGACCCGAGAATTCACTTCTCGCCATTAGCAATCACATGTCAAACATGTGCTATAGATAAGCCGCCAGATTTCTACCAGAACATGATACCACCTCAAACATTGATGAAAATTTAATTTTTTTTTTATATTTTAGATATTTTCTATAAATAATGTCTCTCCTAAAATTTTATAAATCCACCCCTACTCTAAAATATTATAAATTCACTACATCTAATATATATATATATATATATATATATATATCGAGTTTTATAATCTATATTTTGTACAATTTTTAACTATTAGTAAATTTTTAACTATTAGTTGCAAAATGTTGTTATTATCTTGTTTAAATTCGTAAAGCTATATAATTTAAGTACTTAAAAGGGTAAAGTGCACAATTTAAATATATGCTTGCCCATGTAACAAATTGATAGAAAAAAACACATTTATACAATTCTATCGGATTTTAATTTCAACTGTGATATTGTAAGTTCTTCAAGTCGAAGTGAAAATTTTTAGTTTGAAGGTTCAAAATAAAAAAGACGTATTAAATTATAGGGTAAATTATATTGTTCTTCACTAAAGTTTACTCTCTCTCCTATTTTACTCACCGTACTTTCAATTTTTCTATTTTGGTCACTGAATTTTACATATTAAATCATTTTATTTGCTCCTCTGTTATCTCTCTAACATTGTGATGACGCATCATTCTTTTATTATTATTTAATATAAAATAATTGAAAATATAAAAGATAAATTACACTATTCTTCATTGAATTTTACTCTCTCTCCTATTTTGATCACCCAATTATAAAATAAAACCAGAAGGTGACCGGATGCCACCACCGACCATCATTGACCAGGGGAGAATGTATGTGATTAAGGTGGGGAGCAATTGCATACCCATTATTTCTGAAAAATAATAAAATTTATTTTATTGCAGTAGGGAAAAGGAAAAAAAAGGAAAATTTGCACATCCATTTTTTAAAGAATAAGTGTAGACACCTGTTTTTGTCCAGGTTAAAAAAATGTTATTAAATTATTATTATTATTATTAAGTGTGTTTATATTTTTGTGCAGGTCAAATGTGACCCAATTATAAGCTACAACCCAGTTTAAGCCCAAGAACCGGATCCACTCAGTAATCCATCAGCAGCAGACCAACTCCCAGACATGAGTTGAGCCATCGATGAGCCATGGCCGAGCCATTGAGCCAACACTGACGCATTGATTTGCACAAATCATCTACAGTGATAGATTACCTGCTTCAATCAGCTAAAGTCAAGCAAATTAATGATTTCACCTAAATTAGTCAGTATCTTACCAAATACGAAGAAAATCAAGATGCAGCCATGAAGATTTGGTGAGAATATCAAGCATAAATTAAAGGGTGTTTGAACAGATTGAAGGAGAGGAGAAAACAGATTCAACACAGAGGGGAGGAGGATTCGGAACACCATTCGAGCAACAAGAAGTTCTGTTCCCAATAGTCGAATCCATCATCGTTGTAAGCCAGGGATTTTCCCTATATTTTTGTTTTCCTAATTGTAATACAGATTTAAGAAGGTATTTTCATATTTCATTTTTACTTTACAGTGTGTGTCCTTGTTTTTAAAATGAATGAAAAGGTGATAGCAAGTTTCTTAACTTTGTATATAGTCTTTAAGGGGGAGCCTTGCCAGTTTTGTCGATCGAAGAGGTAAACCCGAAAGAGAATCGAAAAACAGAGCCCATAGTACCCTTAGCAAGAACAACGAATCATATATCAGAAATAAAAATGAAGCAATACAATCATTTTTTTTGCTCATATCCGATTCACACAAGAAATAAAATCAATGAGAAGTTTATTTTTCATTTTTAAAGGCATTTTACTAATATAGTTTCAAACCATAAAATAGGAATAGAAGAGGCGTGGTCGGTTTACCTTAGTGTTTAAAGTTCCTTGTTAGAGTAGTTGTCCACTTCTGGTGTCGACGAGGTGAAGGGTCGAGAGTTTTTCCGGTCGTTTGAGGTGTTTTAGGTCTAGTCGGGGTCTTATACTTGCTTTGGTTAGTACTGGTTTGACTTCTAGGTCTGATTTGGAGATTGTAGAGGCCTTCTTAGAATTGATTTAGGGTGGATAAAGAACTGAACATCGTCGGTTTGCTCATGGTAAGCATGTGTTTCTCTCGTTTTCAGGGAGTGAAAGTCAAGGCTTTAGATCTACAGGGGTTGTTTGGCGTTCTCAGTGGTGTTTAGAGATTGGAGCTTCATCGATTCATGGCCTTGGATGGTTTATCTTAGGTTTGATAATGGGTTTTAGGGCTATAAAAAGTTTTGACCAGCAAAGAAGAAGAGAACGGCGCATGAGAGTGAAAAGAAAAGGGGAGATGGAGAAGAACGGCGCAGAGGGGGTGTTTACAAATAAGAATTACTACAAATTTTCAATTAAAATAATATGTATATTAAAGAGAAAATAACCTCAGTGACCAAAAATGCCTTATAATATACGATTTTAACCAACTTTTTTTGATTTTCCAAAATGACAAACTAAATCGCAATGCGATCGATAATTCGCAACGCGATCTCCGGTATCGCAAATCAGTTTCCAGATTCGCAACGTGATTCTGACTATCGCATTACGATTTTCCAAATTCGCGTTGCGACTTTCCTAATTCGCAATGCGAATATGTAAATCGCAATGCGAATACGTAAATCGCAATGCGAATACGTAAATCGCAATGCGAATACGTAAATCTCAATACGAATACGTAAATCGCAATACGAATACGTAAATCATAATGCGAATATGTAAATCGCAACGCGAATCTGACTATCGCAATGCGATTTACATAGCGCCATTCGTATCCAACGCGTATTTTTTTTCAAATTCCAAAAACGAATATATTAATATATCGGAACACTGAACCGTCCACAATATATCTCGTAATCGTAAGTCATAACCTAAAACCCTAAATCACAACTAAATGTCATCTCTATCTCTCCCTCTCTAAGGCAACATCCGTCCCCATCTCCGACGAAATCAATCCCCATCTCCAACGATATCAGTCTCCATCTCCGACGAAATCATTCACGGTCAGAAATGGAAAATCAACCACCGAGGGTTAGTTTTTTTAATTATTTTTATTTTGAAATTTTTGCATTATTATTAGGTTTTTCATATTGAAATTGATGATAAGTTTACTGGTGTTTTCAATAATAGATTAACCATTTCACTTAGATTGCTTATTATATTCATTCGATTGCTGCCAATACTGCTAAACTATTTAGTCTTTAACCCTGTGAAGTTAGTATTTGTCTTTGTTTTGTCTTTTGGTTGAAGTAATGTAATCCATTCAAGTTTCTTTCAATTTTAGTATTTGAAACCGAGAATGACTATCGCAATGCGATTATGTCATTATGATTTTCATTTCGCGTTGCGATAGTCAAATTCGCGTTGCGATAGTCATTTTCGTGTTGCGATTTTCATTTTCGTGTTGCGATTTTAAGTTTCAGAAACTATTATTCTTCTGCAAATTGAAACTTGAATGAATTGCATTACTTCAAACAAAAAACAAAGACAAATACTAAATTCACAGTGTTGCAAATTTAAGTTTGAAGAATAAACTACTACTCTTTATGTTTATTGTTCTTGTTATATCTTCACAGTGTAGTTTTTGGTATATCTAACTTGGTATGTTTATTGTTTTTGCAGAACTTTTATTCGGCTCAATTGACCTTAAGAAATAAAGTTAGCCTGGCCAAAACAATTGCGTCGAAGCTTTCACCTGCACAAAGAAAAATATTTGAGGATACTTGCTTCGGGCCATGGCTGAAAGTACAACATCCGGATGGAGATCCTATGTTGACCCATCTGTTTCTTCAAACCATGACTAGTGATCTACCAGAGACTATACAACGTCATGATGAAGAGATATGGTTTGATTTTCCACCGGCGTATACATGTTTTGGGCGGGATGAGTTTTGCTTAATCATCGGTCTACGCTTCGGACACGATGATGTAGATCGGTACACTAGACATATTACCCGCCTATCATGGTTTTCTCGGGTTTTTCCTGAGCTGTCAACGGAGAATTCGAATTTACACGTGGAAGACTTGACGAGATTATTGAATAATAAAGATGGTTTTACTCGGATGGATGACGTCGATGTTGTCCGAGTATGCCTTCTAATACTTTTACAAGCCGATTTTTTAGGCAGAGAGGCCCGACAACCTATTCCTAATGATCTAATTAAATTGGTAGAGGACCTAAATGCATGGAACCTGTTTCCGTGGGGTTCGTATCTATGGAAAGCTACATGGAATAAGTTGTCGTCTACCTTTGATGATCGGAAAAGTTTGCGTGGCGATGGTTCCAAATACACTTTGTCAGGCTTTATTTGGGCCTTTAAGGTAATAATTTTTATATAATGTTTCCAAAATTATAATTAATTCTTTAACAATTACTAATGTTTGTTATTATATTGTTTGTAGATTTGGATATTTGAGGTCTTTCCCGCCATGCAGACATATGCATTAAAAACTTCTAATGATATTCCTAGGGCTATTTCCTGGAAGAGGAAATGGTCCTTGCAGCAATGGGAAGATTTACTACCATATACTACAATAAATAATGTAAGTTAACACAAATACTACCATATGTTTATAAACAAGTTATTACTAGTACACGTTTAACTTTGTTTGAGCTTTTATATTGTTAGGAGGCCAACACTCCATTACAAAGGCTGACACCCACGGAAGCTGAGCTTGCCACTGATTGGTGGCAAGCTAGTAAGCATTTTTTTGATGGCACGGATGATGAGCAGCCACCACTTCGAGAGCCATCACCTCACCCAGAGCCATCACCTGATCGACCCGAATATACACCTCCATAACGAGAGTCATCACCTATTCTGTCACATCATCGAGCCTCCTCTCCACCATCACCTCATGATAGGCGACCGGAAAAGATGCCATGACGTTTATCTCCCTGTTCTCCACCTCCACGGGATGAGTTAGGGGAGTTACGTAATGAGGTCAATGCCTTGCGTGAGGAGGTCGGTACTTTACGCGATGATAATGGTGCATGGCGTGTTGAGGTGTCTACTTTACCTAGTGAGGTAGCAGCTCTACGTGAGATTGTAGCATCGTTGCAGAACGAGGTTCATACTCTAAGCAACAAGGTAAGTTTAATATTTTTCATATTTAACTTGATGATAAATTTACTCGTAATTTCACTTAAATTGCTTAGTAAATTCATTCGGTTACTGCCAATACTGTTTAACTGTTTATTCTTTAACCCTGTGAAGTTAGTATTTGTTTTTAGTTATCTTTTGGTTGAAGTAATGCAATCCATTCAAGTTTCAATTTGCAGAAGAAGAATAGTTTACTATCGCAATGCGAAAATGACTATCGCAACGAGAGAATCGCAATGCGAAAAGAAAATCGCAACAACAAAATCTCAACGCGAAAATGACTATCGCAATGCGGAAATGACTATCGCAATGCGAATTTCACTATCGCAACGAAAGAATCGCAATGCGAAATAAAAATTGCATTACGATTCTCTCGTTGCGATAGTCAAATTTGCATTGCGATAGTCAAATTCGCATTGCGATAGTCATTTTTGCATTGCGATAGTCATTTTCGCGTTGCGATAATCATTTTTGCGTTGCGATAGTTATTTTCGCGTTGCGATAGTCATTTTCGCGTTGCGATTTTAAGTTTCAGATTCTATTCTTCTTCTGCAAATTGAAACTTGAATGAATTGCATTACTTCAACCAAAAGACAAATACTAACTTCACAGTGTTGAAAATTTAAGTTTCAAGAATAAACTACTACTCTTTATGTTTTCATTGAACATGCACTAAACCTATATGTTGTCCTTTTAAATGTTTATATAAGTGCTTACTTCTGGAATGTTATCTGATGCATTTTGTGAACAATGATATAATAATGACTTGGGTGAATACCGTGCAAGTTTGAAATATATTTGTCTTTTTTTTCACTGTTTAATATCATGTCTGTTTATTTACTGATTTATGTATTAATTTATTTTTAGCGGTCCGCTAAGGTGGATGCTCTACGTCGCATTTTTCTTGCAAGACGAAGTTCACGCATCAGACGGCGTGCACGTGCCATTACGTCTCCGTTCACCCCAATAGTGCGAAGAATCCGTAAGAAAAAGCCTGACTCGCCTGTCATCGTTCAAGAGGCCTCCCCTATCATTCAAGAGGACCCTATCATCCCTCAAGAGTCCCCTCCCACCGTTCAAGAGGCCACTGTCATCATTGAAGAGGTCCCTCCCAACATTCTAGAGCCCGATTCACACGGCGTAATATATCGAATTATTGAGAAGCCCCCTCACGTGCCGGACATGATGGATGACTGTTGGCTTTCGTATAAGTTACCGGCCAGTACCATTCTGGCAGATGAAGTGGAGAGGAAACAACTACCGGAAACAATTCTGGATAATACCCTTTGGGCTAAGACCGCAGTTGATTTTTATCTACATGAGCGGAGCCAAGGGTGTTACGCTGACATATACAAACTCAACGATGATATGCATTTGTTGATTGAACGACCTTGGTGGGGTGTATTATTAGGGGTTGAAGACAACGGCTATTTCGATGGGGGGTAAGTCTTATATTTCAGTTTGATTATTTTTTTTTTTAAATTTATGTAATTTACTAATATATGTCTTTTTTTGTAAAACAACATATTGATGCATGGGTGACACGTCTTCTAATTGTAAAGAAATTGAAGAAAAATATAAAAAAAAACGCGATATACAATTATGCCGACGTCTTTTCACGTAGTTCACTTGAAGAATCAACGACAGGAATCATATGTGTTAGCTAATGGATAAGCTAAACTTTATCCTGCATGGTGGGTGGTCGATAAGGTTAGTATTTATTTGTTTAAATATTTTAAAGGTGTTCATAAATAAGTGCACAATTTGAATTATTACATTTCGATGCAGGTGTTTATCCCTGTTTTGGAACGTACTCATTGGATTCTCGTCGAGCTTTAGCTCCCATCCCTAAAGATAATAGTATATGACAACATGATAAATTACATATCATTGTCTGATTTGAGAGATATTATTAAGGGATGGAGCTCTCATTTGACTAAATTCTTGGATGCAATTAGTTATTGGACTAATTCTGGATACAAGAAGCCAAAGAAGTTCAATGTTACAGTTATCAGAGACGAGACCGCGCCACAACAAACGAAGGAAGCCAGAGGGGATTGTGGTCCTCTCGTATGCATGTGCTTGGAGCGTTTGACGACAGGAAGTACACAGTTTCTACCTCCCACCGATAGAGATAGAGGTGCAGTAGGCTTGTGGTTTTGGCATTTTATGGCTAGAACGATATATGCGAGACGCTGCCTACCTGCATCCGCGTTATGAAAGTGTCC